TGTTTACAATCTCACAGCACAAGCTCCTTTAAAAAAAATCAGTCCTGACACTTGACATGTTATATTTCATCTCAGGGGAGACTCCTTTGCTTGGAAGTTTTCAGTGGAAAAACAGAATGGAAGATTTAAAATGATGGGGTCACAGTGGTCGGCCATTTACCAAAGAAGCTTGTATAGGAGTACAAAACTGACAAGTATTTAGCAGTCATGAGTGTGTATTAAGGATATAATTAAGGTAAGGCTGTAATGTGAGGCCTACAGGCAGAGGCCTGTAAGAATTTTTGCTTAGCAGCACTAGGTCACAGGCTTAAGGAGAAATGATATGGGTGGGGACCCTAAGACTGACCCTATGTCAATCAGAGCACAAGAGTACTATAAAAGATGTGCCAAAAGGTGATGCTGAAAAACAGACTGCAATATACCTAAATGTAACATGGTGAAAAGTTCTGTTCTGACCCTAGGTTACTCTGGAAAATAAATGTTAAAAAGATAACAAGGAAAATAGAAACTCTGACATTTATGAGGTGAAGAAGTACAAATAAGGAAGTTGGAATCCTCATTTATATGAATGAGGTGTTTAGGTATGGTAAGAATAAATATAATTTACCTGGTTGGGAAAAAATAGGAAGACTCCAGGAGGAAAATCATCTGACTGTTGAGAGTTCCTTCAGATACTCTAATATCTTGTGGGATGTGAGTAGTAATTGTATTGGTTATGATTTGGGCTCTGCCAGGTGAGGTAGATGTGTATATGAATACAGAGTGTCCCCACTATAAGTCCTCTGGTATACATCCATTCTGCACTAAAGTCATCGATACTTGTATAAGTCTTCCCATTTTCCCTCCTTAAGTCGCATGCAAACAAAAAAAAAAAAAAAAAAAAAAAAAAAAAAAAAATGCGCAAATGGAAGTCAGCTGCAGGAAAAAAATTCTTCACTTTAAGTTGTTTCGCTATAACTATTTCACTTTAAGTTGTTTCGCTATAAGTCCAAGTTTTTTGGAATGTATCTTGAACTTATAGTGAGGATGGCCTGTATAACTTACGATATAATAATCACTGTTTACTTGTGTAACTGTATTCATGGACTCTGTATTCATTCTTAATGTGCTCCTAAGAGGATTGTAAAGGGTAACTTTCACCCTATTGATTTGGAAACTGTAGCAACAGGAGCTGAGCTTGTTGTAGGTTAATATAGAATCATTAATTCAATTCATATAAAGAGAAGGCTACAAGGGTTACCTGGGGAGCTGCTGTAGCCCAACTGTTATTGACTCTTTGAAACCTGTCCCATTTATATGGCTTATTTGCTTCCACCGTCCTTCTTTCTGACACAATCCACAGCTTTTCCTTTGTTTGCTCCTTATTTGGACCAGAGTGAAGAAAATCAGTCTTTGCTCCCTGTGTGTTGTGTCATAAACTGGTTATTCAATAATGAAAATGTAATGGAACGGTGAACACCAAATTCTGTTCACACTTACTCTAGTAAAGATCTAGAGTAACTACCTTGATGTTAGCATAGTTGCTCTGGATTTATGTGCGTGTAACTGAGAACAGTATTTCCAATATCATCTATAAAACACCTTGAGGTACTTCAGGATAAAAGGTTTACAAAATATAAACTGAGGAGTTATCATTGGTACATGCTTTTCTTGGGAAAGGAGGTTTTCTTAGGCTTTTTCTTTTTGGCAGGGCAGGATGGTAACAAAAGCTTTAGTTCTCTAGAATTTAACGGAGAATTCGCCTGCCCATGTACCTATGGTTCAATGCAAGATCAAGCGACACAGTGAGCCATATGCACTCCCTGACTTGAAGCTGTAACTCTCTGCATCTTGAACACAGAAGAAGAAACAATAACACAAACTATTCTTGGCCCCTCAAAGCCTGGTCCTGACAAAGTGGCCTATAATATTTGTTTTTGTTTTGCTTCTGCCTGGCAAATATTAGATGGAGCAGATTTTTTTAATTCTTCTAAAAGATTAAAAAAAGGTTCAACTACACTACAGCATTAAAAGGTCCCAAGGAACCCAGTGAACCCTTCTCGCTCAGAGTTCAGATATCCTCCTTTACACTAGATTTAGATTGCTGTTTGGGTTATTTTTAGCTCTAAATTTCAATAGGATGACACAGGTTGAGTATACAGTTCTACTTGTTGAACTACACCATGCATTGGTTGAGTGTTGATTTATAAAATAATACATAGTTACAAGTGTTACCCACATCTAGTCTTCCCCTGCTAGTCAAATCTGGGCCACATACAGAGATCAAGAATCCCTTTGCAGAGTTGCATGACAAAGCTGCGTCTTCTAGCTCAGGCAGTAGAGGATCATGGTGTAAGACCTAGAAGTCTTGGGCTGAGCAGCATTATAATGATGAAAACCAGTTTGTTTCTGTCAAAGTCCTGTTTCATTTAGATAAGCATTCTTGTTGAACATGGAAGGAGAAGGCAAAGTCCTTGGATGAAGGAGCTTAGGGTTTGTCTACACTAGCCCCCTAGTTCTAACTAGGGAGGCTAATGTAGGCATTCTAAGTTGCAAATGAAGCCTGGTGTACACCTCATGGAATGAGGTGTGACAGTTAACTCAAACTAAGTCCTTAGTTTGAGTTAACTGTCACACCTCATTCCATGAGGTGTACACCAGGCTTCATTTGCAACTTAGAATGCCTACATTAGCCTCCCTAGTTAGAATTAGGGGGCTAGTGTAGACATACCCTTACAGTCTAAATGAGACAGACATGAACAGCACAAAAGATGAGAACAGGAAGATGAAATGGTGGGTAGGCGACAGAAAAGGGGTTGGAGGAAACTGCTTTTAGAAGAGTCTTATTTATACAGATTAAATAGAATGACACCATGGTCTAAGGCAGTCTCATACTTCCTCTGTGAGGCTGGATTGCCAGTGCTGGCTTCCTGCTACGCGGGGGAGGGGAAGCCTGGTAGGCCAGATCCAGTTCGTGGGGGTGAAAGTGGCTCTGCACATTGTTGCTTCCCCGCCTCCTGGCTGTGGGAATGGCAGCGCAGGAAACTGCTCACCTGAAGGCTTTCCCTGATGCACCCATTGGCCAGAATCACGGCCAATGAGAGCAGCAGTGGGCGGTGCCTGGGAGTGGCAAGAGGCATGGAGCCAGGTAATCACTCCCATCCCCCTCATGCCCAGACCCCCACCCCCATACCCTTCACAACCCACCTGCTGAGAGTGCACACCTTCACCCCATTTCTGCCCACTCCTTCACCCATCTTCCCAGCCAGTTCCTGCATCCTCATACCCTGCATCCATTTTGTCATCATGGGTGATTGGCTGGTCATCCACGGAAAGGCCTGCATTGAGCAGGGTGGGTTGTGGGCCAAAACGTTTGAGAGCCACTGGTCTAAAGTATAGGATATAGATCCAGAAGGCAGAATAGATGACTTAGGAGGAATTGTAAGTTATTTTTTGACATGTCAAGTCTGAAGTGGTGGAATGTCCAAAAAGAGGTGCCTGATGGGCAGGTGGAGACTTGGTATTTGGGGCAAGGATAAAGGTTCAGCACAGATGCAGAGCTGATTGTTAGTTTCATTAGCATCAGGTATTAAGTACCTGATCCAGAGCAAGATCTGATCACTTCAGAATGCAGTGATTTGCCTGCTCTACCTTCTGTATTCAAAACCTTCTGTGGGACTCGCCTGAGTCATCTCAGAGGCTATCTTGATCTCCCACAACAGCTATAATCCACAGCAGTAATGGCACCCATAAGCTTCTTTGGTAGATGGCCCACCACTGTGAAACTTCTAACTGAGATTAGAATGAACCTCAGTGCACTCAGAACAAATTGTAAAACCCACACATTTGGCCCAAACCAAAGAGAACAATTATATTGAATAAGGATGGGGTGGAGAGGAACGTAAAGGACCCAGTGCCTAACGCCCTCACTTACTGCTGTGCACAGGGTGTCAAATGCTACCAAGCAACATGACAATTTTTTATACTAACTTTGCATCGATGTAAATAACTATGCAAGAAGTGACGCAGATTTGGATCTAAAGCCTTTTGGAAATGTGATTTTGTAAGTCACTCAAATATCATTAATGAGCACAACATATACGAGTGAATAGACTGAGCATAGATTTGATACATGGCACATCAGTATGTATACTGCTAGCCATTCATTACATAACATGTGCAACGTGTAGATTTCAGGATAGGAAAATATAAGATTGGTTTAGGGAGGATCCATGCACTCAACTCCACGGGAGACCATGCTGCACTGCATGACTCGGGCCTCACAATTAGGGCTGACCAGCAAACAACAATTCATTTGATTTAAAATTTTAAGTTTTTGAAATTTGTTTTGATTGCATTGTATGAATGCTCTCCTGTCTCTAGATATTCTGTCATGAATTCATAATACCTTCCAGATGCAGTTTTCATTGAAATTGATCCATTTCTGTGAAACATCTTGGTTTTGATTAAATGACATTTCAGATCTAATAACAATGTTGACTGGACCCCTTCTAGAATTAATTTGTATTGCTGCCGGGGAGGTAAGAAGAGAATCCATTAACAAGAAAAAAAAATCCCAAGAATAGTTAAATGCTTTTTTTCTTCTCATTTCTCATTTTATGTCCTCTCTCCTGGCTTTTATGTGTTTTTAAATTTCTCCCTCAGGTTACAATAGCTGTGCTGAATGTTAATAACATAATACTTGATGCAACTACAGGGTTCATTTCTGAGAGATTCTTTCCCTTGAATATTGAAAACTCATCTGAACTATTTCGATACTAGGTGGGTCAATTCATCAGATCATTTTGGAGCACATATGGGTTGAGTAAAGATTGTTATTTTAACAGGTACTCCTTGCTAATTTGTTTAGTAAGGATTTCAAGAATAAATGATTATTTCATAAAGAATCCCTAATGGGGGGCATATAAAAATCTTTATTAAACGCATTAGTCCCATGGCATGACCTTATATTACATAAAAATAATAAAATAAAAATTCATGATTGACTAAGAATAAAAGTCAAATGTATGTTTTAATTAAATGGATACCACATAACAATCTTTGGTAAAAGCAAAATGAATGCAGATAAATATTTAAACTTTCTTTGGAAAAATGCATTTAATTGGAACCCTTAATTGACATAAGTATTGTGCTTTTACTACAATACACACTAAATTTCGGTAATGTGAAACTGTTATATTATTCTGCTCCTGACAATTAGCTCTGAAAGAACTGACAGTATTAAATTTATTTATATTTGTGTAAATGCCAACAGTCCAGGCAAGTTTCTTTTAAAAAAATTGTCACAATCTTTCATTGAAAATGAACAAAGAAAAAAGATGATAAAGGAGTGTTGTCTAAACCACTGAATGTAAGGATCTTTGAATGGGGGTCTTAAATATTCACAGATGGCTGGATACAATTGATAGTGACTTAAAACACATTACTGGTATCTTCTGCAAACACAACTTCCTCTCCTTAGTCTGTTCTTTCCTTTCTGCCATAGCTGTTTACTCATCTGTTGTGTGTTGTCTAAATCCGGGCATAGAGGCAATGCGGCAAAATGACTGTGTTTTGTACAGGATTATGTACCTTTGCCCAGTCCCATGTGCCCTTGCCTAGTCCCTTGTTTCTGATGTGGTGGGACTAGAAATATTAGGGAGATGTTGGGCCATGCCACTGCCAACTAGGGTGGCCAGGTGTCTGGTTTTTTTTATAGGAATGCCTGGCTGAAAAAGGACATTGGAGGTTCCAGTCAGCACAGCTGACTGTCATTAAAAGTCCAGTTCACCACAGTGACTGGCATGTTCCTCTGGCTCTTAGATGTAGGGGCAGCCAGGGGACTTTGTGTATTGCTCCTGCCCACAAGGCACCCAGTAGCCTGTTAATGTCTTATGCATACAGCTTATTAATTCACAAAGAAATAACATTACACCTGAATTTGGCTTTTATGTAATTCAGAACAAAACCAAAACAAACACAACAACAACAAAAAAGAAAATATTCAGTGCAAACATCTTTGATGTATGATAAGATCATTACAATATTTCTCACAATAATGTTAATAACACAGACTACCATCCCCTCTCCCCACATGATTATAGAAAATGTTATCTGGATGCTGTTTACAGGAGAATCTTTAGTTATGGCATTGAATAATTTTATAGCTAACCTCTCCTGTAGAATAGCAACACTGTAATTACACATGAAAATCTTAACATACAATGATTAGTAAGAACTCTTTATAACACAATCATCAGTAGAACTTCACTAACTTACATTGAGGATTGGACTTGCAAATTGACGATTAAATGAACAAACACAATATTTTTAAAAAGAAGGATAAATAATCCCAAATATACATTATTCATAACAGGCCTGATCTATCATTGATGGGAAGGCTCCCAAAGGATTTTGGATCAGGCCTGTACTTGGAAAGTGTAGTACATCTGAATAATTGGTCATTGTGTCCCACTAAAAGTTGTACAGTCTATTTTGAAAAAGTAGTGAAGTAATAATGAAACCAACATGCAGCTTTAATACCCTTTCTACTAACTCTTCACTGAAAAAGATGTTGTTTTTTGTGCATTAGTTATGGGATACATGGCTTAGTGAAAGCAAATCAGTGAAGTTCCACAACACTGATTTGAAAAAGAAGACTTTAATATGTGGCTTAGCTACTATTATATACAATCCAATCTTAAAACAACGGATCAGCTAAACTATTTCCTACAGATCCTGCAAAACTGGGTATCTCATTGACCCTGTTCCCATTAAAATCCATGTGAGTCTTACATCAATGGGAGCAGAGCCAGCCCATTGTCATCACTAGACTAGATCCTAAAAAACGTACATGTATGGTTGACTTTATGCAGTGTGTGCTTGCATTCGGTTGAATAGGATGACTTCCTGCTGTGCATGAAGTTAAGTATGTGAATGTGTCTTTGCAGGATCAGGGGCATAGAAGCTGTGGCACCCAAAACCTTGCTTATGTTCATGCCTTGCTCTTTTGGAAAAACAGTAGAGTACACAGATACAGTAGTCTAGTCTGGAAGTCCCCAATACTTTCCTAGGTGGAAAATACCCGTTTTACAGTACCTGTTTAAAAACAAAATTCACAGTAGTGAGACCCCCCCCCTTAATTTTTTTTAACCTGAAATAGCTGAATTCCTTCAACTATATTAAAAAGAAAACTCCAGCACCCCTCCTACACTTGCTTAGCCGCTAATATGTGTGATTTAATTGTTTTTCAATCTAGTAAGACCTACAGTTCTGGAGCCTTAAGCTTCCTCCTGATATGTAGGTTCTCTGCCTGGCAGGGTATATTCCATTGGATAGCATTAGTTAGAACAAATGATTTTCCTTTCTTGAGGATAAAGAGATTTTAGTATTGCAGGACTGGGCCAGAAATCCCCACAGTGAGGCTTTTTAAAAATGACCAACTAAACCAAGTAAAACCACTACGTTGGTTTTTTAAAAAACCCAAAGCCTTCTCCTAGTTTCCTGCAGTAACCCGTTTTTGGAGGAGAAGGGTAATCAATGAATTAAGAAGGGAGAAATCACGACTCTCTGAATATCATGAAATGATCTTCAATATTACATGATGATTTGTTGTGTAAGCAAAGGCATGGATTAGCCATGCAAGATGGTACAGAAGGCCCTGCAGACATTGTGGGAGAAGGTTTGGAACATGTGCCAGCACAATATATTCCTTCCTAGAGCCTCTATGCTCCTCCATTCTTAATTTCACATTGATAAAACAGGTTGTAATACACGGGGAATGGAAAAAATAAGGGCCATGCTGCTGTAAGCATCAGTATATATATGGAAAACTTTTACAAGTGCTGGGCAGTAAAGACTCAAAAGACATTTTCTGTAGAGCCCACCTGTGGGCCATAGAGAGCTAGTATCATTGAAAGAACCAGGGTGCTAGCTGAGCTAACTGCTAGGGGAACAGGACGAGAACAATGTCATTAATTTTAAAAAAATGGATTTTGCTGCATTTTTTTTTAACCCTAAATCCTCTGAGTTTTTGGTTTCTAGAATCATAGTCACATCCTGTGCTGCTTGAGTAAAGAGCTATTGAGTCTCCTTTTGCAACTTGGTTGCTTCTTGGTTTTACTATCTGTCTCCAGGGGAGGAAAAATCTAAACAAGGTGTTTTGACCTTAATACACAAAGTCTTCATTTGGCTCCAATCCATACAGTTCAGCTAACATTTTAAATCTGGGACCCCAGTCATTTAGAAAGTCATAATCGATATCTGAATCTGAGGATCCCGACTCCAAAGAGCTAAGAGATTCTGCAATGGACTCAGCACCTTCATAGCCATAAATGTGAAGGGTGTCATATGGCAGCAAATCCCCATCATTGTCAGCTTCATCCTTCTTCACCTCAATCATAATTGCCATTTCTCCAGTGCCTGAAATTCCATTTCCTGTCGGCTTCCGGACCTGCGCATACAGGCGGGGCCCAGCCTCTAGTTTCATGCCATTCCTACGGACAGAGTTGAGCACAGACACATCGTAGCTGGTGGTATCCATTTCACCACCCCCTTCTTCATCATAGGTGACAAGCTGCTCATGAATCTCTGCCACGTTCTTCCGGAGCACATTCAGATCTTTTTTGTGCCTCTTTCTCAGAATGATGAGCAATGTGATTACTGCTGAGAGAACATATCCAAGCAGTTGTAAATAAAGGCAAATATAGGGAATTGGAGTAAACCAAAGTCAGTGCAGTTAAAGGTGAACATAATCTGAAGTTCTTTAGTGGGGAAAAATGCTATTAGATGCCATTCAAAAAAGAATTTAAAACATTCCGGCTGCGTCTATACTGGCATGATTTTCCGCAAATTCTTTTAATGGAAACGTTTTTCCATTAAAAGCATTTGCGGAAAAGAGCGTCTAGATTGGCCCAGACGCTTTTGCGCAAAAGCACTTTTTGTGGAAAAGCGTCCGTACCAATCTAGACATGGTTTTGCGCAAGACAGCCCCGACCGCCATCTTCGCCATCGGGGCTTTTTTGCGCAAAATGGTTCTCAGTTGTCTACACTGGCCCTCTTGCGCAAAAGCATTTGCGCAAGAGGGCTTTTTCCCGAATGGGAGAGTCATTGTATTTGCACAAGAACACTGATGATCATACATTAGATCGTCAGTGTTCTTGCACAAATTCAAGTGGCCAGTGTAGACAGCTGGCAAGTTTTTCCGCAAAAGCAACTGCTTTTGCGGAAAAACGTGCCAGTCTAGAAGCAGCCTTCTAATGTAGATTGATGTGTTCACAAAAGGGGCCCATATTGCCTTCTATCAACCTGCTTTAGTGTTGGTTTCTTCATCTCCTTAGAACTTTATTTTTACAGCACCAGACTTAGTCCTGGTACCTGAAGATCTATATTCACAAACAGAACAGACAACAGCAGAGGAAGCTTTCCCTGTGTTGCACTGCCCTGCCAATATGCCTGAGTCTTGCCTTGGAGTGTGTATCTCTACCTGAGACCATAGATCATTCTCCCTAGTTGTCAATTGGTCTCTTTTGCTATGGCTCACTTGTGCGTGTGACTTTGATGTGGACACTTGTCAACTAGGCAGTTGATCTTGGACCATCTAATCATTATCTTTCTAATCATTATCTTTCAAATAGTACCTGCTTCATACTTACCAGTCCATGTTAAACTCAAACTGATAACATTGAGATGGACAGCTCTGTTACCCAACCAATCCCCATGTTAAGTGCTATATTCATTTTTTGTTTTTATATGAATGGAGATGCCTATCTCTTAGATCTGGAAGGGACCTTGGAAAGGTCATTGAGTCCAGTCCCCTGCCTCCACAGCAGGACCAAGTACCATTCCTGACAGATTTGTGCCCTAGATCCCTAAATGGCCTCCTCAAGGATTGAACTCATAACCCTGGGTTTAGGAGGCTAATGCTCAAACCACTGAGCTATCCCTCCCCCCCAAACATGCATTCTTACGCCACCCAACTCACAATTGTGGATACCTGCTTTCTAGTCACACAAGATTCAATACATCAAGCACAGCAGCTCACAGTTGCACCATTAATGTATTATGCAATATTGGTGTCTTACTGCATTGTTATATGTTGTGCCCATATGAATTCAGCCTGTTGAGTTAGAGGGACCCTGTTATTTTCTTTGGCTCAGATCTCATCATGTGCAGTTACAGTATGCCAATGGTGCTCATTAATATTAAATACTTGGTGAAATTCCTATTGCTCTTCAGTTACAATAAGACAACTATTTTAATAGGTCAAATACAAAACAAAAGCAAGAATTGACTGAATGTGACAGACTCTCTTTAAAATGTTCTCTTCTTGATTGTGGATAAGCACAAAGCTTCAGGTACACCTCAATTACCAAGAGCATATCAAGGGCAGAGAATGCTTGAAATATGAAATATTTACCAAGGATTGTGAAGATACAGATAAAAATTGCCACCAGCGCCTGAATGCTAACTCCAACTTGCTTAGCTGCCTCTTCGCAAAAAGTGAATTCTCCATTGCTATCACACTTGCAGACACTGATGGAAAGTATGTTTGTGCTGTTCAGTTCAGGCGTACCATTGTCCGAGATGATGATAGGCAAGTAATGGATTTTCACCAGCTCACGATTAAACTGTCCATATTTGACAGTGACATTAACTGTGTTATCTGGAAAAAGTAATGACATCTAATTAAGTGATAATCTCAACCTCTGACTTTCTTTATAGATGATCAGTCATCTGGCACAATCCTCTCAGGCTAACGGAGCCTTTAAGGAACCCCGCAAATAGATGGGTAGGCATGAACAATGCCACTTTATCTGCTAAGAAAACCTTAACCTGTTTATAAATAACAATATCCCACTTGGGCCCATCACAGGTTATCTCTGTAGCTTTCACCTCACGTTTCCTAGTGACTCTCTTTTGCTATCTGCTGTAGTCCACTGAGCGGATACGCTACCGTGATTATCCACCAATGTGAAGTTGCTGTCTTCTGTGGCCAGGGAATAGTTGAAGTGAACACCAGGTAACATTTCGTCCTTGTCAGTAGCTGAAATCGTGATTATTACCTATAAAGATTCAAAAATTCATCAATTTCAGGTATGCACGGCACACAGTGGTAAAAACGTGCATTGTGTAATATAATAGCTTTGAGCTGGGCCTTTCATGGACCCTTTGCAGAAAGAGGTCGTGTGACGCTGCATCCCTCCAGAGGGAGTCCCTAGAGAGGTGCCATGTCTCCTGGGGTCTTCAAGGTGCCAGGCCTGCCAATGGGCGGAGTAAAAGGGGTAGTTACACCTAGGCCTGGCGATTCAGAGTCCCAGGGCTTCTGGCTGCCGCTGATGCTACTGTGGCAATAGCTGCGGCTGGATCCCAGGTCCTTTTAAATCATTCCTGGAGCACTGCACTGGGCACTTTGTGTGGGTCTGAGTTGGGGGGAAAGGGAACTTTACATTCTATGTGGCATGGAGAGCTGGTTGCTCCAACTCCACCCCTTCTGCCTTAGGTGTCGCCCATTCAGGGAGTGTGGAGCCAGTTTCCCCCCACACCTTGCCCAGGGACCTGTGCATGCTGTTGGCTTCCTTGCAGGTACAATAGGAGTAATTTGCTTATCACCCTCTTCAAAGGGCTGCTTCCTTACCCCACTGCATGTTACGTCAGATCCACTGGCTGGAGCGGAAGGAGGGTCAAGAAAGATGGGTGTATCTATTCCCTGACTACTTGCTCTCTATGTAGAACAGCTGGTGCACAGCCTCTCTATTCCTCAGTAGCAGGTGCTAAGAGCTAGGTAGCTTGAATCCTGCCACACAAAGAGGAAAGGGACTCTCTGTCCTACTCCTCTGTGTGGCTCTTTTATGGCTAGTTTGTAATTAAACATAAAGAGAATAAACTAATATTCATTTAAATAGCTTAGGTGGCATTTTTCAAATGTGCCTAATGGATTTAGGAACACTAATACCAATGAATGCCTAAGACCACTGATCCCTTGGTTGCTTTTGAAAAATCTCCCCCAATACCTAAAACACACAATACAGTTACTGCATGTATGGCAGATGAATAATATATATGACATCAACTATAAATGATATACCAAAAGTACTTCAAAATAAAGTTAAAGGTCAAATACTACTCATGGGTGTGCGTACACAGCTCCCATCATATGACAGAATCCAGATCAAAGACTGTACATTAACAAATATCAATAAAAAAAAACATACATGTTAGGCTGCATCTGAATCTGAGGGACATATGACACCTAAAAATGCCAATTCTGTGCACACAAATTGGGCACTGATGAAATTTGCAATCTTAATATTTACTCATGTTTTCTCCTACCTATTTTACATAGCTCAGGTTTTGCATGCATGAAAATATTAGGTAGATGAAAATGAATTGCTGGTGATAACTGCCACCATGTAGAGTTAACTGAACTGTAGTGTAATGACTAAAGTGCATGTATAACGCCAACCTTCAGTGGAGGGAGGGAGGCTGAAGGATAGCCATGCAACGTGCATGTGTCAAGTGACAGAGATATAGTGTAGCAAAAAGACCCAAGCAGAAAAGTGCTGAATGCTGATAGCTCGGAAGTCAGTGCACTCACTGGAAACACATGCAGATCAGTATTTACAATGAGCAAATGGGATAATAGCTCTTACCAAAAAAGTGTTTTAACTTGGGGTTGAAGGCATATGGTTAAATATAAATGTAAACAATCCTCTTATGTATTACTTACCTTTCCTGGTGCAGCATTTTCACACACTTTGGGCTCATAAGGATAAGCAAGTTCTGGAGGGTTATCATTTTGATCGAGAACTTGGATATAAACCTGTGTATGTGATTCTACATCAGACAGTTTATCTGAAATGATAAAACATAAAATAATAGATGACTTTTCACTCAGATGTCTACAGGCTGAGCTCCATCCAGAAGTCTTGTCCTATTGTTTGCATAATTCATGAAACTTCTTCATAATGAGCATGAACAGTGCAATGTATCACACTGGGATGAATTAACGCTCAGCCTACTTTAGTTATAAGATGTAAATTAAGGCCCAGTTCCTTCCTGTATAGAGATTTGTTAGATAGGGAGTGGATAAGGGGATCTGGTTATATTTCTTTGATTCATTGTGCTCGACTCAGTGTAGGTTCTAGCAACATTGGGGTTGCTCTAACTATGCCAACTGCCTATACCATAAAATGAATGTATGTCAGCTGAAGACTGTCAAAGTGTAACAAGCTTTAGCTATCCCTCCTTTTCTCTTGCTCCTTGGCTCTTATGGCAGGACTCTGAGCTGTTAAAAGGTTTGGCCTAGGAAGTAGTTACAGTGGCTATACATAAGAACATGAGGAGAATTTTGTACCGTGGGAGTATAATTAGGCAAGATGCTTTTTCTAAGACTTATATTAGAGATTAGGGCACAAAGGTTAGTGGTTTCAAGGGATTCTTTGGGTTTGTACTGAAAGCTAAGTACAGGTTGGACCTCCCTGGTCCAGCATTTTTAGGACCTGACTGGTTCCAGATGAGGGATTTTGCCAGACCAACGGAGGTCATGTATCTGGCCTCGCTGCTACCGGCCCCCCAGCCCTGGACCAGCCTCTCCCCCAACAGCCCCACTGTTGCAAAAAGAGCACCTGTCTCAGAATAGAATAATATCAAGGGCATTTATTTCATGTCAGCTAGAAAATTTTCCCCCATTTGCACTTATATAAAGTTATTGCTTGTGTCAGATGTTGTCAGGGTAGGGGTTTTTAAACTTTTTTTCTCTTTTATGCTACAATCTTCCAGAAAACATGTACTAAATTCCCCCCTCCCCCCAGTGAAACAGGTTTTTATTAACACTTACTGTCTGCAATGATTTCTTGGGCTGCCACAGTTAAATTATGCCAGGCGCTGGTTTCTCTGTCCAGGGGCTTTGAGATGAAGATATTTCCGTTATTGGACACTTTGACATAGTCCCCACTAGGGCTGGATCTTCGGAGGGTATATCTGTGTTTTGTTTAAAAAGCACAATCCTCAACACAACCAGACACGGACTCCAGAGCCCACCCCACCTCCCTGCCTTCAGAGGGCACCTTATCCTGCTAGAGCTAGATCTGTGCCTAGCAGCCTGTGGTGGCTGTCTGGCTGCATCCTGGGTGGGTGGAGGCGGCAGGGCGGAGCTGCCAACCCTGCCCTCCCCAGGCAAATGCCCTATCCTCTAAGCCACTACAGAACCTACTCCACCTCCTTGCCTTCAGGGCATCCCTTATCCTGCCTTCTCAGCGCGGGAGCCATTTCAGTCATTCATAGGAAAAGGTCTGAAAGTTGTTCATACTTCATATCTGACAATTTGCATTTGCCATGGGCTTTGATGGCCTCACCTGCATTCTGCCCACTAACCTCTTTCCTTCAGGACTAACATTTTAAATTGCTTCAAATATGTGGCAGAGAAATATTTTCTTCTATTCTAGACTTCCCATCAGATGGAATTTTCTCCAAAAATTACCTGTCTCAGAATAGAGTAAGTAGCCCAATTTATTTCATGTCAGCTAGAAAATTTCCCCCCATTTGCACTTATATAAAGTTATTGCAGTTACTCCTTTGCTGATTTTGAATTAGTTCACTTTGTTTTAGCCTATGCATGCCAAGGCACTAATTGCATCAATAATTGTACAAAAGCATAAAGACAGACACACACAACAGTGCATTTTCACTTATCTGCTAATCTGTGTAGGCATAATGTGCATTTGCTGTCATAGTGACCATATGTGGCAACTGCATGTGCAAACGCCCAGAGATGCAACTTGTGTAGGCACGGTATTGTGCTTGAGTGAGGTAGAGCTGTGACTACATGTGCAGATGATGCATTTTTGCTTATGCAGTTCTGAAAACTTCCTTATGTCTTCAAACTATTCAGAATTTAACAATGTCATTTGCCAGAGCTGGTGCCGTGTCCAGCTTCATTTACCTAATTTTCCGTTTTGCTGCATCGGGATCTATTGCCAAAACAGTGCCAAGTGGGTTTTTTGGGGAGAGGTTTTCTTTTATCGTATAAACATATGATGGCTTAGAAAAGACGGGGGGCTCATCAACATCAAGAACTTCAATGGTAACTGCTGCAATGCTCTTTGGCCCACGAGGCTTGAAAAAACGCATATTTATCGTTGGATCAGTTGCTTCAACGTTAAACTTGTACTCTTTTATGTTTTCATAGTCCAATGGCTAATTGAAAAAGAGAAACATTTTTAGTGAGTAATAGAAATGCTATATCGGCATTTTGTTTGAGAGCCGAGACACTTAACTGACAATTACAACCAGCAGCAAGCCAGCCAATAGAAACATTCCCAAGGTCGGTTGATGTTCTGCCTACCAGAGTCTGGCCATGATATCCCTCCCTGAGTGATCCTAAACCAGGGAGTTTCCCAGACCAGGTTGGTCAAGGCTCCTCTCCTGCCATCATCCCTGTTCCTGGGTGTCTGCCACAGGGCTCTGCTCCCAGCCCTGGCTGGGGCTGTGCTCCCAATTGTGCCAACCTTGCTGACACCAGCTCCTGCCAGGGCTGTGCTCCTGGCGTCTGGTCCTATTGTACCTGGTCAGGGCTGTGCTTCTGACCCTGGCCTCTCCCACTCCTAGCTGGGCTCCCTGGTCCAGCAATACCCGTGGCCCTGCTGGAGCAAGGATATTGCCAGATCAGAGAATACTGGATTTTAGATACTTCAACCAGTAGTAAGAAATGTCTTGAAACCAACACGTCCAATTTAATATCTACAATGAAAAAAGAATCTGGTATAGTTTGTGTGTGTGTGTGTGTGTGTGTGTGTGTGAGAGAGAGAATTTCTTTTCTGTATACTATTATCATACTATCAAGTGCTTTGTTTGCTTGCTTGCTTTTTAAAAAAAGCCGCATATTTAGGGCATTAGCAGTGCTGTAAATTTCATCTCATGCCTTGCTGTTTGAATTCACGAAGGCACTAAAATGTATATATTCATGATTCGTACTGAAAAGCCGGTTCAGTCTGGAAGGACAATTGAGAACTATACTGATAGTTTAAGTGATTAGACATGGGCCTGAACCGAAAGCTTGGATCTGACCTTACCACTGGGGAGAGATTTCACAGCCTGCCCAGGATGCAAGAAAATAAAGCAACATTTCCAAACACCAGTGAATGTTGAGATGCTCATAATCTCTGCATTGGTGTTCTGTCCTACACACTTAAAAACTGCACAAGTCAACAGAATCATAAGATTTTGATAAGTAAATTCACTGAGTATTTCTTTGTCTTATTTTGTTTTTAGGTTTCATATTTCCTTGTTTTTCTCTTCAACAATTAATGCTAGAAACCTGTTTTTAATGAAATCTGAGCTTCTCCTGCAATTGCATTATGCTAGTGCTGGGAACTTAAGAAAAACACCAACCATCCCCAATTGCTCAGGGAAGAGGGCAAGGTGGTGCAGCAAGGGCAGGGTTTGGGAGAGGTGTGCAGGGGCCTGTGGCAGGGGTGTTGCCCTAGGCCATGAGCCTGGGGTACTGGGGAGGAGTTTTCCCCAAACTCCACACCCCCTCAAGCTGGCTGTAACCAGGACGCAAATAAAAGTAAACCAAATTATCATTTAATGAATATCATGATTATTGTTTAGTGAAGCAGTTTTGGGTACTTGAAGGCAGGTAGGGTCTTGGGGTAGGTCCAGGCTCCTGCAGCCCCTACAGTATCTGTTTGCAGGGGGAGGAATGGGAAAGGCCGGAGAGGCTCAGGGAAGGCAAAGACAGTTAAACTTTAAAGAAGGGAGAGGTGAAGTGATTAACTGGAAGATTGACTTTTTCATTTCATTTGGACCTTGACTGAAGATTCACTTAATATATATCTGTTACCTTGAAACAAAAACATGTTTTTTCCATACCGTTTTTAGAATATAGCTAGACTTGATATTAATTGTCAACATGACAAACACATCTTTCTTTGTTACTAGGAATTGTACCTTCTTTGGCTTAATTATTCCTTCATTAGTGACTGCATTTGGTATAATTTCAAAGGTGTCTCCATAATGTTCTCTGACAAAACGGTACTTTGTGTTCCTGTTTTGTGGCTCATCAATGTCTTCTACTTCCAATCTGCCGACTTCACTTCCTACTCGAACATTTTCAGGGACTTTAAAGTGGAACGATTCTGTTTAAAAAACAAATGCAGTCCCCCCCACATGCGTAAGTGAGAATTCTGTGAATGAATTGTTCATCTTAATTTGTGTAGTTAACAAGAACATAATTTCACAGTGAATACTGATATGACTTGTTCTAGCAGACAAAGTAAGTTTTAAAATTTAAAAATGGCACCGATGCTCAAAAATGTCAAGATGAGGTATAGAATGAATGAGATGCTATTGAATGGATTTATTCTCCCCTAGATGTGCATCACATTTTCACTGCAAAATTCAAGGACGTTAATTAAACTTTATGTATATAGTCAGGCCTCCGCACGGGGGAAGGGAGGCAAAGAGGGTGATACAAATGGGCCTGGAGCTTCTAGCTGCTGCCACCATTCCTGCAGCAGCAGTGGTGGCTGGAGCTGCCTGGAGGAGATGTGATGCTCTCCTGGTGGTGCTACGGTCTGCCTAGCCTCAGCCCTGCCCCTTCTGATGAGGCCCTACCCATTCTGGGGGTGAAGAGCAGCCTCCCCATCTTGCCCAGGAGCCTGGCAAGGCTTTTGGCCCGACTGCATACCGTGCTGGAGGGAATGAGGGACTGGGGAAGGGATGAAGTTCTATTCAGCTCAAGAGATTTTATCAATTGTTATAAAGCAATAAATCTTGATTGGATAAATTCTGATGAAACCATTTTGTTTTAATCCTAATTTTTCATGCCTTTCAAACAAACAAAAAAATCACACACTCCACTCACGTTGTTGAAATGTTGGGAAGTTGTCATTGACATCGGTCAAAGTAATGGTGACTGTCGCAGTGCTTGAATCTCCTCCGTGAAACCCTGGAGAATCTTTTGCTTGAACAACAATTTCATAGGTAGACTGAGTCTCTCTGTCTAAATCAGCTGTGGCTGTAGAAATCACTCCTTAAAAACAAACAAACAAAAAAGGAACAGGTATTCTATCTTATGTTACTGCACAACAACCTCCTGTTAGAGGTCACTGTATGTACTGCTGTTGTCTTCTCCAACATTTTGGCTATTGCTTCTAAGGCTGTGATTAGAAATCTGACATCTAGATGGAGTATTTTAGATGTTTTGTATATCTCCATGCAATACTTCAAATTTTTGAATACTTTGATTATTACAAATTCACAAATGCTGACTAAGCAGTACTATCCTATTATTTATAGGGATAATGCAGCTGGAAAAAAGTATTCATGGTGTACTGCTGGAAGTAATGTCTCTAGTTTAAATATGTACATCTAATACCTATATTTATTGTATAATGAATGAATCAGGAAACAAATGCAGAAACCAAATGGTCAGGTATTTGGGAGTAAGAGTAAAGGGTGAACATGCACATAAACAATAAAGTACATCTTAATTCTGGATATAATCAGACTCAGGCACTGCCCCATATTTCTAATTAGCATTGGAATAATCTGAGGTGAGGCTGGACACAGAGGACATTGACAGATCAAGCACATTAACAAGTAACACTAGCTCTCCAAGGCCGTGTCTACACTAGGAAACTACCGTATTTTCTGGCGTATAAGACTACTTTTGATGTTAAAAAACATCCCCCCAAAATCGGGGGTCATCTTATACGCCGGTATGCGGCTTTGCAAAGCCGCGGAGGGGCTCCGGCGGCGGGGCAGCCCAGGCGCGTCGGGGCTGTCCCGCTGCCAGGGCGTCCTCAGAGGCTTTGCTCCCGGTGTCCCTGGTCTGCTGGAGACGGGCCCCAGCAGACCAGGGGCACCGGGAGCAGCTTTTCTCGCCCTGGAGGTGGAGGGGGGGG